ATATCCTACTGAATAGCCCTGGGGAACTCTGAGAAGAAACCCAGCAACTGTCCAGAGCTTCCTGCAAGACTGCAACCTCAATTTAAGATATAGAACAACAACATGGTGCAGATGAGATGGTAAGGTCTAGTGTGAATCATTAGGTACGGTATTAGCTTCTGGGTAGATATAAAACACTATGCTAGCCAAAAAAATTTTAAAGCCAGTTATTACGTGTTTAGCATTCATGGGGTTTTTCTTAAAATCAATAGTTATAAACTGTAAAAATGTACCCTAATTCATGACAATAGACTATGCCCTGAGAAGTAACATTACACACTAAGAAAAAGCCACTATAAAGTGTCAGGTCTATAATTCAAAAGCATAAACTGTCTACAAAGAATTTATTGGAAGCACGTATTTCCTCCATTTCTCAGCAATATATTGCTTCTTCAGAGGAAAAGACTAATGAAAGTTCATGCTAGTTTTCCCAACCTCAACTACAACTTTTCTTTTGTTTTTTTCCTTTTCTCCTTTAAAGTCTCCTGGGAAAACTAGACGGCTTCATAGATAAAGCTCTTGCTTTTCACCTCGGAAAGAGGATGTAGGCCTAGCATGAGGTTCTGAAAAGACTGAGCCTGATGAACTCCACTTAAGGATATCAATCAGAGCACTTCTGGGAGGTAGTGAGAGTTATCTAAACACAAAATGAGGCCACCTCACCGATGCTTTGCTACATTCTTCTTTGCTGGTTGGAAGAACAGAGAAGAGGCTGGGAAGGAAACATACCTCTGGAGCACACGGGGAAAAAAAGGAGGACAGTTATCTTAGACAGGGACAGTGAACTTTCTCTGAAACTAACTTGAACGTTAAGTGTATTTGAGAATAGGTGAGTCACCCTCCTTCCTTTATACCTGACATTAATAAAGCAGTAAGATCTAGTTGTAAAGACCTCTCATCACCAAATGAGTACAGGACACACACGCATTTAAACATCACATCTACATTTCACTTCACTGCTTCTTCTTCCAAAATTGCTCTAGAAGACACAACTTGGGAGTTGTGGGGTTACTTCCCCACGCTGCAAGTGCAACAGTTAACTTCCTACTAAATTAAAAAAAATAAACTACAAACATTCTTCCCTCACAGAAGGCAAAACAAAACTAAGCAAACAACCTTGTCCAAAAAATTCAATCATCAAGTCCCTGAGGACTCAGCACTTAAATTATTCTCTGGTAGTCACATTTTAGTTAATTGTTAATATGTTATTCTGAAAAAGTATGCTTGTTGAGTCTGGCTATGCAGACAAGCCTTTCCAAAACCCTTCGTTTCTGCTCATAAATATTATACAGTACTGTTTTAAAAATTCATTAATTATCCACTTAGGTAAAAAACTCACTCCTGTCCATAAACACTAGCTACACATTCTAATTAAGCAGCACTAACACAAAACTGAAAATGCCAGAAATTTTGATTATAAGACAGAATCTAAGCTTTCTCACTATATCACCACTTCACTTATTTGTCTTAAAAAAATTTCTATATAAGGTAATTAATAAGACAGTATAAACTGACAATTTACTTTATCCCCTATTTAAATGACACAAGGATTTGATTGCATAAGGAATATGCAAGAAGTCAACAAAACACTAATATGTAGGCATGAGTAGATTAACAAATATTAATCAGAGCAGCAGAGCAATGCGTTCCAATAACTTTATACAAGTTTGTTATTGTAGCTATCTTTAATGCTGCATGTGTTGCTCCAGTAACTGTAACACACAATATAAATCAAATGCCAATGAAATATCAGTTAATATATTTAGCAGCAGAGAATTCTACTCCTTAGAAGTGTGATTCCTTCTAATTTCTGTAGTTTCAAGTTACATTTGTTCCTCAACACCCTTTGTTTCTAGCACAAAGAAATTTCTACAAAGACTAATCCAGTGAACAAAAAGAATTTGCATCAATTCAAATGACACATACTACAGCAGAAGATAAAAATCAGTAAAGATGCTGAACTTCCTACGATGACGTTTACAGATGTACAAAGTTTGATGTTATATTTGAAGGAGCTTCAGAAAATGAGATCCTTGTATTCTGCAGTTTCTGCTGGACATTTTCTCTGCAAGAATGTTCGTTGACTACAATATAATTCTCTGACTCTGAAACAGTAAACGACTAAAGTACATCACTTAAAGTAGCTGTACTCAGTTACCTTTAGGCTTATGAAGTACCAATGGCCTGAAGCCACTTTTCTTTCTCAAGCAGTGTCCAAATGGGACTGTGCAGTAATACTGAACAGTTAGACAGGTACGTTCCAAAGATCATAGTTTCAGAACATCACACCATTGTGAGATGAATGCAATTTGTTGGAAGTATCTCTTCAATCGTTTCATGTAAGAGGCTTCAGGACATTGACAGCTTCAAATAATTTAGTTTTATGTTTCCTTCTTTCATGTAATTTGTATCATTACCATGAAAAAATTAAAGCTTGATTTTGACAGCTTATTGTTTGCATTTCTTTCAAAAGGAGAAGATATGAGTTGTTTCAATTTTACTTTTATTGTTTAGTTTTCTGTGTGGCAGAGCCTAGCCAGCAAACATTTCTAAATATAACTATTCTCACTGGATCAAAGAAAAAAAAAAGGAGTATTTCCCTCAGGCGTAGGATTTAAAAACCCACCCTTGAAAGCCATACTACAGCCATCACTGTTTTGCAAAACTAATAAAAATATCAGCACCATCTCTGACTAGAGCTCTCAGAACATTTTCCAATTATGGAAGTACAATGCAACTCTGCTCTGTTACATGGGACCAAATCTTCTCTTCCTACAAGCATGCATAACTGACGTGAATAGGAACTGCACACGTGTACGAGGGCAGCTGTTTCATCTTAAGTGTTTATGATGGAAAGATTGTCAAATTCAATAGCACAGTACTTCCACAATACAGTTTTAAGAAAGCCAACTGAAGACTCCAGGTTACAGTCTGGAAGAAATATACCATGGGTTTCAAGTCAGATTCTAACAAACCTTTTCCTCTAAAAACCTCAATCGTTCCAGTGCAAGGAGAGATCATCTCTTCACTCCCACAGTTTAAGAAATATTTCTTATCAAGCTCTCCCTTCCCAGTCTGCTGCTGCCACTAATATTTTTCTCACAAACAGGTAATTTTTGCCAAGGTAAACAAAACACGCAACTGCATTAGTAGCTGTCTAATTAATCTAGGACCAAGAATGTGATCCTTAATACATTGACAGCTGACTTCACACTTTCCAGGTCCATACTGGTCATTAATGGGGTATCATTAATAAAGCTGACCCAGGCTACTAGACACGCTTTAATGTATTTTTCATACTTAAAAAACATCAGGTCCTCTGGTTTGGGTAAAAGTTCTTGCTCAATTTAAGTTCTTCGGTTCAGACTCTGGTTTGTACCTGAACCTATCCATTTATCAACTTATGAAGACAGTATTCTCTCAAGCCCTTCCCACACCTCCCTCACACTTCGATTTCGTTCTTCTGCAACTAAAACCATCAACCAAGAGAGCATCCCAGAGCACCTCAAAACAAATGACCACGTAATATGTCTCTGGCTATACAGAGGCAGGTGAGCGTGCCCACTGAGACAAAGCTTTGCCATGGAGATGCTCGAGCCTAGGTCAGTCTTATCTAGGTACTGTAAACAGAATAGTGTACATTTAGAAATGTCTCTGGCAGCTACTCTGTGCCTGAAATGAGTTATGAACATACTCTCTGAGACTAGAGGTGGTCTATTTTCATTTTGAAATGCAAAAGTAAGCCCCATCCATCAAATTATTTAGAACTGTTGGAACTCCATGTTTCAAATGCTTTTTTTCTTTCCGATTGACACCTTTTGAGCAGACTACATGGTTTTTTTCTCCCTCATTGTTGCTCTCTGCCCAACAGAAACAGCAGCTTGAAACTTATCATAGTCAGGAGGCACTTTGGGCAGGAGAAATATACAGCAGTTTTGGCGAAGACTCTAGCTTGAAAATCTAATCCCCTCAGTGAATAGTCTGTTTAGAACAGAGGTGATGCTGCAATTGTACAAACTTGTACAATTGTACAATGTTTCTCCTCTGGGTCTTTGGACCAGCACAACTCCATTAGTGTAAAAAAAATCCCTTATATAGATAAGTTCTAAGGAAATGACAAAATAAACCATTCACGTTTAACTTCACTGGAACAGAAATGTGTTTCAAATTCCCTTAAAATTTACTGTGATGTAAACAGAAATGTATGGTTGGATAAGTGCTCTTAAGGAAAAGTCAAAAAAACCCCCAAACCCCAGACTGAAGCTGTGTAAAGGAACAAAAGTGAAGAGACAGCTTCCTCATGCTGTTTGTTGTTTTTTGTTGTTGGGGGTTTTGTTTGTTTGTTTTTTAAAGTCTCAGTAACCAATTAGAATAATTACTTTTTAATCCATCGTCTATTGGACTTACATGGTCTTGGTCAAGTACTAGTTACCAATGTGTGATTTAGCAGGCTAAGATCCGTAGTGTATGTAATACATTCAGAAATGCGTATCAAGTGCCATTAATTCTGGATGGTTGAGATAAAATAAATAAATAAATACCAAGTAGGAAATGGAGGTAAAGTACACTGTTCCAAGTTTTTCCAAATATAGTTCTGACTCTTAAGTGTGAGTGTGAATTTGTGTGTTTGAAGTATTTTTTGTCACATTCTCCCGTACCTGCTTTTCAGGATTTCAACTTCACAGACTTTCTTAACAAACTCATGTGACAACTAATAAGCAAACAAAAACCCAGTTACAATAGTAAAAGGCATGGCTCCAATACTGTTACTGGAGCCTTGAGAAAGAAACACTGCAGTCTGGTGTTCTACCAAAGGTTGCCAATACGAGAGTAATAGCACTCGCTGAATAGTCTGAATCCAATAAGGTATTAGCAAGATGCCACTACAGTAAAGAGGAACAACCTGGAAACAGGTTTAGCTGATACTGACAGATCCTCCTATTCTTTTTCCAGACACGCTGTTTCAAAAGCTTTTCAGACTTTTTCCCTTTTTTTTTTTTTTTTTTTTTAAAGCCAAATGATTCAGAGTCCAACTTAATGCAGAAGTTAAAAAGTAAGAAAGTGGCACGGTAGGAAGCTGACACAGGGTGATTTTTTAAAAAGATTAAAGAACAAACTGCATTTGCTTAATAAAAAGGTATGCCAGTTCTTGAATAAATAAAGTGACAGACTTCTACTCTGAATGTGAACTTTAGGACTGACCATTAAAAGAGTGAGAAAGACATGGTTAGATAACACTTGCAACCAAGACATGCATTTGTGTCTGAAAAGAGAATATTGCACTAAAAGAAGAACCCTGAAGGCTTTAAACTCTTCCATCACTGACCTAAAAAAGTAACTAACCATTTTCTATAAGCAGTAGCAAACCTGGCTTGGTCCGCATCCCTACAAGTTGATAATACTTTATCGATGAACCGGTATTCCATTTCTGGACCAAGAGAGTCCTGCATAGGAGCCCGCTTCAGGCGTTTTGTTTCTTGAGTATAACCTTGTTTGCTGCTGGACTCATTTAAACCATCAACATCCATAGCTTGTGCCATATGACCGGTCGCAGGACTGTGGTGGGAATTATTCAGAGTTTCATCACTGCTGTCCACAGATGACACCACCGCATTCAGAAGAGGAATTTTGTTGCTCAGCTGGTGCTGAAGGTAGAACACACGCCTTCTTCAGAGGAAGAAGAAGGAAATAAAAAAAGGGGAAAAAAAAAAAAAAAGTCATGCACTGAAAATAATCTGCTGTTTCTACTAAACTGCTTCAGTTCATTTGCCATTCTACCAGATTGCCCCACAAACAGACACAAAAATCTGCTGTCACTGCTCACACTCTACAAGGGCTCAGTGTCACCTTGGCAAATCTGCTGCTACCTAGTCAGGCACATACACCCAGCTGACAAAGCAGAGGTTTTCTGCAGCTGATGCATCTTTTGCCTATCTTTTGCCAATTTTTGCCCTTTAAACATTTTATGTGTGAGGAGGCTGATCAACAGTATCTTGTGTCTCTTGCACAAACTATAGGGAGAAGCGGTGCCTACACCAACAAAGTACTTAAGCCCAACCAATTTTTCCATTCAGTAGCTCTGATTGTGCTCTGGAACCCTTTCCAAACGCTTAAGACATAGTAGCTTAGAAATCTTTTATTGAGTGGTACCTTTTAAGATCAGAACAACAATTAGTCTGCAAACAGCAGGCAAAGAACAATTCACCCATCAGAGGGACAATCTGTTGACCAAGTCCTCTTACCTATGACACCACAAGGTTTCATGCCCTGGGTAAGTATCAATGAGTTCAGCGCAGAGCTCCAACTCTTCCTCTACGTGGCGGGGGAGATCCACACTCTGCTCCTCTGCACAGGCAGCTTCTGCCCCTGCACTCTCCTCCTCCTTATGAAGGCTAGGGTTTTGCTCATTCACCACTTGATTTTGTACCAGTACTTTGTTGTCAGTCACAGTTCTGCCTATCAAGGACTTGAGTAAGAATTGGCGGTAATGAAATCCACTATGGTCTGAGACATGCACGGACACCCAATATTTAGTGGATGAAAGTTCATCGAGGAGAACCTGAAACAAAAGCAGTAACATTTATCAACCACTATAACGAAGGAATTTACCACCACTGTGTTCTGTATTAAGGTAATCTCTCCTCTAGAGATTTCAGCTACTGTGCTAACGATTTAAGAACACACAGAGAAAAATTAAATAACCACTGAGCCTTTTCCACTGTGTCCTGACAAGTATCTTGGCACCCCTGAACAAGAGAAATTATACTTATTCCAAGCTCTGAAAAGGCAGGCATCTCAGAAACTTTCTCACAGCTTTAGAAAGTTATATGAGAAATAAGAAATAAGAAACCATTAGTGGTTTAAGAATCTCAAAATGGTTAGAAATAAAGACTATCTAGAGGAGGCAGAGGGTACACCAAACTACATCAATATTAGTTTTATTTTTTTGTCTAGTGCATTCTGGGTGTCAGAGGGTAGCAGAGTTACTTAAAAAAAAAAAAGAAAAAAAAAAAAGGGAAAAAGGGGAAAAAAAAAAAGTAATTCACAGTTTCATTTTCCAGGAAAGAATGTCAACCACTAACAGTGTTTCAGGCCCTAGAGCCTGTGGAATACAGAACTATTTGTCCATAATTAAGTTGCTAGACTTGATAATTGGTGAACTCACAGGAAGGCTTTCACAATAACTTTGGTACATAGTTACATTGGTGAATGCAGCTGTATTTGTCACACTGCTGGCACCTATGAGTTTTCTCTTAATTCTGAATGGTTTTAAACCTTTCAGGGTTTTAAATCTTCTATTTCTAGGAAGATGAGTGAGCTTGGCTACTGGGCAAAGCTTCTTTTACTTTACCTTCCCCATTAGAACCAGTGGTTGTATTTCTTTAAAGGCTTTAACCTCTTTCCTCACATTGCTCCTCCTTTGGAATTCAATCTCTCCAAAGCTATCAATTTACTTCTAGACTTTGGATATAACCTTAGTGGTATATTTTTGCCTTTAATTTCCTTTTCTAAGCTACCTATGTTACTTAACAGGATCACCTGATGCAAAGGCACAAGTCTTTCTTTTTTCTCCTGCAGCACAGGAGGCACAGCCTCCCACGAAGAAAAGGACAAAAACATGCAAGGCTAGTTATACCCCTTTCTGTGGTGCATCTGTTCAAAAACGTATCAGAACAAATATATGCCTTGGTGGTGGAAGACACAAAGAAGGCAGAGTTGCTGAATGCCTTCTTTGCTTTGGTCTTCACTGCCAAAGCTGCCCCTCTGTGGCGGTGTGCTCTCCCTGGTTTGCCCCCCCGCCTCCCTCTCGGCTCCTGCCCGGCCTTGGCCACCACGGCCATCACAACAGCAGCTGTGATAACTTGCACCCGGTATCTGGGGGATGGCTGGCAGCATAGTCAAAATACTGTCTGGAGTGGGGACCTAGAAATTTTGTTGCCATGAAAATATGACTATAGGTCAATTATCTTACTGTATAAGTAGTGGACAGCCCAAGAGCCCCTTTGAGCTCTCCTGTACGGCAGCGGGCTGCACGCCAGGATCTCCCCTTTGGTGAGGATGCTCACTGAAGGTTCTGCTCCTTGAGGTTGAGGGAATCCTTGCCGCAACAGAGTTTCGATAAGTGACTAATAGCATGCTAAACTTTGAAGTTTTATCTAAGTAATGTAAAGGATTAATTGTGCATATATAATCCTTTAGACACAAACCGTTGACCAAGTCTGGGACTAGGATTGGATCCAGCCGCACCCAGACTCCTCTCTGAGAAGGAGTTTAGAAAGCAAGGGGGTCCTTTCTGAACCTCGTGACTCAACGGGAGGGTCTCCCTGACAGTTCTGTCTGACCCTGTCCTCTGTGCAGTAAATAATAGAGTGTACCCTGACATCGGATCTCGTAAAACACTATCGCATTTACCACTGGTTTTATCGCACTTACTACTGGTTTTGTTAAATCACTGTTTCACCTTAATAAATATTTCTCTGCTTCACTCTAACTAGTGAAGTTAATCACTCCGTCCGCGACACCCTCATGAATCCCAGACCCTGGAGACAAGGGGGAAGGTCTGGAGAGAGGAAGACTTTCCCTCTGTTGGGGAGGACTGGGTTAGAGATCACTTGGCCAAACTAGACATCCACAAGTCCATGGGCCCGGATGGGATGCACCCATGAGTGCTGAGAGAACTGGTAGATGAGCCACTCTCCATCATTTTTGAGAAGTCCTGGAGAACAGGAGAAGTGCCTGAGGACTGGAGGAAGGCAAATATCACACCAGTCTACAAAAAGGGCAAGAAGGAGGACCCAGGAAACTACAGGCCAATTAGTCTCACCTCTGTCCCTGGGAAAATATTGGAGTGACTCGTTCTCGATGTCATCTCTAAGCACATTAAAGAACAGGAAGTTATTGGAAGTGGTCAACACGGATTTACCAAGGGTAAATCATACTTGACCAATCTGATACCCTTCTGTGATGTTATAACTAGACGGCTGGATGAGGGGAGAGCAGCAGATGTCATCTACCTTGACTTCAGCAAGGCTTTTGACACTGTCTCCCACAACATCCTCATTAGAAAATTAAGGAAGTGTGGGCTAGATGAGGGGGCACTGAGCTGGATTGAGTCCTGGCTGTATGACAGAACTCAGAGGGTTGTCATTAATGGAGCAGGGTCGAGTTGGAGGCCTGTAACCAGTGGTGTCCCCCAGAGGTCAATACTCGGCCCAGTCCTGTTCAACTTATTCATCAATGACCTGGACGAGGGGACAGAGTGTGTCCATCCAGCATGACCTGGACAGGCTGGAGAGCTGGGCAGAGGAGAACCTAATGAGGTTCAACAAGGGCAAATGTAGGGTCCTGTGCCTGGGGAGGAAGAACCCCAGGCACCAATATAGGTTGGGGGTGGATCCTCTGGAAAGCACTACTGAGGAGAAGGATTTGGGGGTCCCAGTGGATAGTAAACTTTTCATGAGTCAACAATGTGCCCTTGTCGCCAGGAGGGCCAACGGGATCCTGGGCTGCCTAGGGAAGAGTGTGGCCGGTAGGTTGAAGGAGGTCATTCTCCCCCTCTACTCTGCACTGGTGAGGACACAACTGGAATACTGCATCCAGTTCTGGGCTCCCCAGTTCAAGAGAGACGGGGGACTACTGGAGAGAGTCCAGTGTAGGGCAATGAAGATGATTAAGGGATTGGAGCACCTCCCCCCTTACGAGGAAAGGCTGAGAGAGCTGGGGGAAGAGAAGGCTGAGGGGAGAAGGTTGAGGAGAGACCTTATCTATGCTTACAAGTACCTAAAGGACAGTTTGAGGGAGGATGGAGCCAGACTCTTTTTAGTGGTTCCCAGTGACAGGACGAGGGGCAACGGGCACAAGCTGGAACATGGGAAGTTCCACTCAAATATGAGGAAGAACTTCTTTCTGGTGAGGGTGACAGAGCCCTGGAACAGGCTGCCCAGGGAGGTCATTTACATGTTTTTTCCAGAGTTTGAATCCCAGAACTGAGATTCAGGCTGCAGAAGCGTTAGGATTACCAAACCAAAGGAAAAAAACAAAGCCTACCAAACAACTGACACCCACAAACCCTCAAAAGCAGGGCAGCAGTTCCATAAATGACAAACCTGTTTAGAGAAGTCTCATTTCAGTGATAATACATTATACACATTACGTTTCTTGCTGTCTGTTTCCTAGTGCACTGTAACCACAAACCACAGGGAAAGTCTGTATTGCAGCAGAAATGCAGCCCTAAATAATACGGGTACTCTAGTTTAAGAAAACCTTGCAAAGACTAAGTGGCTGTAGAATCACAGTGACTGCTTCATCTGCTAATTTTTTTAGCACAGTTCCACTTTTACATCTCTGAAATTTACCATTCTTTTCAGATATTTAAATACACAAATGGCTGAAGGTACAAAACAAAACAAACAAAAACGCAAGGTATATATTTTTGTGGATAGCTGTAATGCCTACTATTTTCCTGTCCTTCCTCGTATTTGCTTTCTTCTTCCTCACATCATATCTTGAGAATAATCACTTTCTAATTTTGCCTTTTAAAGTTACTTAGCCACAAATTTTATCTCAACATTCTTATCTTTTATGTTTCACACTTTTCCCTAATCTTCCTGCATCCCTAACACCTTGTTGCTAGGATATCTGAAGAGATGCATCGGTGGTGTCATGACAAAAAAAAACTACAGTCAACATGGAGACTTCCCAATGGTTTAAACACTGCTCGAGGAGCAGCAGCACCAGTGAAATTTTACTAGAGGTAACAAAAGCCAGCTGGGACAAAACTGGCTCTAAGACAAACCAGAGAAAACTATTACTTCCTTACTAACCAGCCTGAAAACAAGACCAGCAGGGGAACTGGGATGGCAGGCAAGTTAAATGGTCTTGGGAGTGACTGAACACATTTCAAATACTTCCTTAACAGGCATGCTTTGTGACACAAAGCATTGACAACTGCCAATGAATAAACCCACCAGAGTAACTCTGAGAAGCTCTGAGGACAGTTATTTCTACCACAATGCAGCTCTTTCTGTTTATTTAAATTAGTAAGAAATAGCAAGTGCGGAGAGCACTCAGGGTGTTACCCTGATCTTCAAACAACTGTTAACTAAGGCATAAAATGATTACAGTTTTAATTAACTCTGCTTCTTCCCTGTCTTTTTAATAAAGCTATTAAAGATTTCTATAAAAGACTCTGTCTCCTATTAATATAGACCTCTAACCCTAACTTCTAATCTCCGATTTACTCCAATCCTGTAATTCTTCTGACTTTTCCATAACTACTTTTCCATACAGATTTTCTAGGTAGATGAGTCCAAATTCTGGGCATGAAGCCTGAAGCATACTCTCTACTTACTACCAATCTGATACAGCCATTTTTTAAGCTTCTCAAGTGACAATTAACAGGAAATATTAACAAAACAACATTCAATGCTAGCAGTAGCTGGCCCAAAAGACATAAAAATAATGGCTATACTGACTCGACAACTTCCACTAAATTCCTCCCTAACTCACCTAAGTATTTACAATATGGCAAAATGCAGCTGCTGCCGTTAAAAAGCGTGAGTGACGTGGAATTGTATCAGCCTAATATTCAGAAGGAATTCACCTAACAGCTTAGAAACCACACTACTATAAAACTGTCTATATGGTTTTACACCATGTCACATTAACTAATTCAGTTTGCTGCAGATCTAGATGTTTTAGGTACTACCGTGCAATCTGAAATACTCACCACCACCTAAGATGTCCCTGCTGGAGCTGAAACAGCTTGATCAGCCCCCAGTTTAAATGCTCTCAAAAAATACTGTTGGAGCTGAAGAAACTAGTTGTAACTAGCACTCCTACGCTTTCTCTGAAATTCCTGCTGTCTTTACTTAATCCTTCAATATTCTGAAACCACAGATAAGCTGAATGAGGATATTAAAACAAGACATCGCATTACATTATCGAAATAGTATCAATCACGTGTTATACTTTTCTCTACCATGAATTTCAAGACTAGAGCTAGAAGAATTATTTTCAGCTTCCTCTTCTTTATTTCAGGTCATACAATCCCATCTATTCTCCTGCCATAAGTTCATTAACACTAAGTACACAAACAGAACTTTGTGCATGGGCAAGAAAAATCTTTTCTGTCTGCAGAGCAGAACCTGCCTACACTGGCAAGAAAAATGCAAAACATACACATTCCAATGTTTTGCCTGTTTTTTAAAACATTCCTAGCTACCCATGCTAGCTTTGTATGATACTCTCCATTCACATCATAGGATCTGCTTAGCAAAACAGTGTTTTCTTTTTTCCAGACAAGGAAATATAAGACTTTTTTCCACTATTGTATTATACCTTGACAGTCAGCTTTCCCAAATGCTGTAAAACCCAGATGCGGTGGGACCAGGCATTGTAGTTGCTTGGGTATCTCCCAGCAGCTTCAGAGCAGACATTCATTTCCTCCTGCACCAGCCGGTGAATTCTCTCCACAGGTGCTGCTCCCAAGTTTCCTTTAGTTGCATGACTGGGCAAGGAGTTTTCCTGAATTAGTTGTTGCAGCACCCATCGTCTGGTTAAATGATGTACAGTGTTAATGGTGAGAGAGCAATTTTAAGAGAAAAAATGTTTTTCCATTTATACAAATCAACTAAGACTCTCTAATATTTCAATTATCTGAACTACGCTGTAAATAGATCATGAGTAAGAAACAGTAGTAAACATAACCATCTAAACTCTTCCATATTGAAAACTAAGACTTTATGGTCACTCTCCAAAATAATTTAACTCCAGCTGTATTTGTTTGTTCACTCACTGTAAGTGGTCACAGCTATTTAAAGCATACTAAATGGAAACAGGACAAACAGCAGATTAATGAAGAAAAAAAAGTGCAAGAACTGTCTGCATGAGATTTCCAACAACCTCCTCTTTCAGAAACTTGCATAGCATTAAAGTATCCAAAATGAGACCAAAAAAAGTTATTCATTAAAAAAAAATTTAACTGTGCTTCATATTTTTTGCATTAGTCACTACTGCACACAGCAAGACTAATTAGCTTCCGTACATCACCAGCAGAAAAAAAGTGCAAAAGATTTACAGTTTCAAGGGCTACAGACATAACCAAAACAAATGTTTTTACTGCTGAATTATATATATTTGAAGTGACTGAGATAAGGGCAGATTCATACATGGCTTTTTAATTTTATTATGGACTTTTAGTCGTACTTTAGTAGTATTTATAGATGAGTATTTTGAGAGGTGTCCTTAATGCTGCAGAAAACTTGCATCTGCAGACTCTACACAAAAGGGTCCTACAAAATGGGACACAGATGTGTAGACCTCCACACAGCAGCATGTGTCAAGAGAACTGCAACAGGCCCACGTGGAATGCTCTGGAAAGTTTGACATCAACTGGTCTGTGACATAGAGGTTTTTCTGTTCTGTACTGGCCCACATCCGTTCCAAAACCAACCAATAGCTACATTCAGAAAGGTGCCACTCCTAGTTAGAGGAAATCAATAAGCTAAATAAAAATAATAAATTAATTTTCTTTAAAGTGAGAATTCTATTTTGCAACTGACATATAAAATTGCATATGTTTTTATATATATATATATAAAAATAAAAACTAGACAAGCCAATCAATCTTAAAAAAATATTTGGTAGTCCATTTGCTTTTTCTCTCATTTCAAACACTTGTAATATTCTTGTTCACTGGTATTTTTTTATTTACACTGTGTCTTTTTATCTTAGTTATTAAAAAAAAACCAACCTATCAGAAGACAATATTAAAGATAATTTATAAGAGTGCACTTTCTACAACTGACTGCATTTCTCAGCAGAAATCACAGGCAGTGGATTGAAGCCAGTACTCATACACCATATTCCTATTTGTTTTAACTAAAGACTTACAGCCAAATAAACCATGCTCTTTGTTGAATTACCACAATTCATAAAATAAAGTTATTTTTAAGATTTAATTTTTGCTTTTTAAAAATGTCTTTTTTCACTTCAATCACTAGACTTGCAAGAAATGGGAGATTCTAAAAATGTTTAGGAATGAAAGCTAAATAAGTAGAGAGTCATTCCTTTAACAAAAGATAAATATTAGTTCATTAACATTGACTTCTGATTAAAATAATAAAAAGACCAATTATTTTGCTCTTAAAATTATTTCAGTTACTTAAAATAAGAATATTTTAAATTATATATACAAGATCATGTCAAAAAAACCACAGATTTATAGTCTCTGTGGCTACAAAAGAAAAAAATTAAAAATGAAACCTGAGCTATGTTCTAGACTTTTTGCATGGGAAGAATGGAAGACAAGCACAACCTCAGAAGATTTTAAATGTATTGCTGGTACCTAGTGAATATTTCAATATTATTTCAGAGATTTTTTAAGAGAACATTTTCTCCAATAAATATGGAGAAAAGAAATCCAATTTCTTCTGCTACTGTGCATGCAGATTCTGTATGTTCCTATTACTATTGCAGTTCCTAGAATTACCACAAATGAACGTGGGATTATTCAGTGACCATTGTGCACTCAATAGATATACTGACTCTATATGCACAAGATCTATCTGAAACACCCCAAAACATATAGCAAAAGGTCATATAGCAAAATGTATGGCAGGTATTTTGACATCTTTAGTGAGGGTATCTGCCATGTGTAAGAAAAAAAAAAAATTAGATACGTCTTACTGAATTTTATAATTGCCCCATTCTATTTTTTTGCACTTCTGTTTGAAATTATTTTATCAGTACAACTGAAGCTTTAAGGCATTCATACTCTATCAAAAACATAATGGGGTAACAACTTCACAGTTGTCCTAATGCTGGACCTGTGAAACACAAACGTTGTGAACTGCTTTATAATGTGTTAGATTCAAATCTCTTTTAAGGCTGTCTATAAAAGGACAAGTTATCCTGTGAGAAATACATCATGAAAAAAAAAAAAAAATCACACACACCAAGATTTTGTTGTTTGGTTGTTTTTTTTAAACAAAGTTGAGCAATGGTCTATACATTATTTGGCTGTGCTACAGGCATTTTATGTCCACTCAGTTATGAGTGAGATAGTTAGCTTTGTGCATCTGTGTAATTCTGGAGTTATCTTTTCCAAAAGATAACTGTGCTCTGTTATTTTAATATTTAGTAGTGCTGACTTAATGACATTGCTTAAGTTAGAAATGATAGAAATAAATTTACCAGACCAAAATGACCAGTATTGGATTGGAAAAGAACCCAGCTTCGGTTATAAAAATTAGCTTTTACAGATTCTTGTCTTTCTGAAATGCCTGTAGACAGCAATATAGTAGTAAGTTGGAGGAGGGGGGAAAGAGGGTGAAACCCACAATGCTCAAATACTTACTATTGATGGAATCAGAATTCTCAGGCTGAGAATTTTAGGTGCTGGAAGACATGATAAACCTTTAGGGAATTTTATCCCACCTCCAAAGTTTATTTAAAAAAAAAAAAATGCAGCAAAAAAAAGGTGCACATGATTTTAGTTCTAAGGTAAAATATAGGCCGGTATCTTCAAAAGCCAAAGCACAGTATTTTACTGTGCTCAAATGAGTGGCTCAAAGAATCTGCTATATTTCTAGATGTCTCTTTCATCTACGGTTCTCCTTAATGCAAGCACAGGAAAAAAAGCCCTAGGAAAAACGGTTAAGTGTGAGAAGGCAAGGGAAACAAACCTATGAATCCATGTTTCTGGACTCTTTGGAAACTTGGTTAACGCCAGTTTTCCAAGATGCAAATCTTTAAGTGGATTTAAAGTGCCAGACAGTATTAGTTCTTTCCTACAAAAGATAAAATAAATTTGTATGAATAAAAGTAGTAACCTGAAAGCAAGAACACAAATCCCAATAACAAATAGCATGCCATTTCCTTTGTATCATAATAGAACCTCGCTGTCAAACTACAAGAGTTTTAAAAGCTTTTGGTGGACTAACCCGTCCCACTCTGCTAGATATATAAGCACACTGCATTCAGCTGGGCCCAGTAAAATAAAACCAGATCAAAGAACTTTATTTTAATCTGAACACACACACACACACACACACAATGCATTGGTTCCCAAACCTACGCAGAAATCACTGAGTCAATGGTATTTGAGTGTGTCTCTCCATCAAATTTTCTGTTACTAATCAGAAAGCCAAGGATTTTGGGCCATATGTAATGCCTGTTGTCTTGTTACCTCATGTCTTTTGACTTTCCATCAATTGTATGTGCCAGCAAGAACAAAAATACCCACACAATTCCTTTACAATCACTTACATAATGATTTTGGTCATTTTAACTTGGAAGATTTTTCAACCTATAAAAACACAGGATAACTGAAATTATGATTAACAACTGGAGATGTCTTGTTGCCTGTTCAGTATAAAAGGGATTTCCTTCCAAGTTCTAAGAAGAGACATATGTCTTCTATTCTTTAGCATGCCTTCCTCCACCACACAATTAGCTCTTGCTCAATTCTCGTGGTTTAGGTTATAGTCCCTGTCACTTCTAATTAACATTAATAAATTAATGACAAACCTATACAAGCATATTACAATTCATTAGCCTTCCACACCACCACTCCAGTCTTCTTGCTCTGGAAGTCCTATCTCCTTTGCAAGGAAGAGATTTCCTTTTCCCACTATCTAAAATGAAAGAGTCAATAAATTCTACAGGAAACACTATGTGCAGGGGTGCTACTCAGTAAACAGCTATTACACTTTTATTTTTTAGGTGACTTATTGCCTATGATGCTTTTTTCCCTTAAAATAAAGCAGTGAATTTGTGTGTGGAGAATGTAAGATGAATCCGGCACAACAAACATCCTCTGAGCAAGATGAAAACAATCAACCCAGGGCAGATCCATCATGTTCTGCAAGCAGAGTCCGAGCCCTACACAATTAGTTCCCAGTTTATACTAGCTCAGAAGAAGGATTTACCTTCAGCATCTGCGCAGAAGATGGTCTGTCCTCTACTCTGTGACTGTATATGCCACACATATAGCTTTGACCTGAAGTTACACCTGAAGTGATTTACTGAAGTAGGAATTTCACAGAATAGAAGAGAAGCTGAAACGCTGTGCCAATTAGTTGCCTACCCTTCATAACAGCCAACTCCCAGCAGCACCCTAGAACAATGCAGGGTCAGATTCAGCAAAATAGTCCCTTGGCTAGAGCAGGCTTGGTGGTAAACTCCACAGCTATTGACCTGCTGGCATAACAACAGCTTCTCTCTAAATGCTAAATGGAGCTTCAAAGACGGACTGCCAGCCAGGCCACTGCCAAGAATTCGGGGAGCAAGGCCACGTTTTGTAGTAATTTCTATACTTTGGTAAACCAAGAATGTCATAAAAGAGAAAAAACAATCCTCAACCCTATTCCTTAACATTTTTAATTCCATTTACAACTTGGAACTACTCTCATGTACATAAGAGCAAACTCTTTCAGCTGCCAGGAATAAAAAAAGCCAGACTGAGAAGGATAGATGTATTCACATTAAAAGAAAAATTCCACAAAACCTAAAACAGAAACCTGAATTCAGTTTTAAGTACCACAAGATTACATTACTATAGTAGCTCTAGTTCTTATACATGGTCCTGATTCCATTTTATCACTTGAAAGCTATTCAATCTATACATTTTCATGACAGTAAGCCCTTTGCTATCATTTTCATCCTCAGAAAGAAGCAGATCACAGCAGAATCCCTCAGAACTACACTACCAGTGAAAGCAGAAAGGAGAAAAAAAATAAATAAAGGCTGAATATGCCATATCTAGGGCTGACAGCTATCTGCAGCCGCCGTCTTTCTAGGTCATTTTGTTAATTCTTCCTACTGCAACAATGCATCTTAATTACAAAAGTCCTATATTAAATGAGAGCTCTCCCAGACACTAACACATAAATTTCTGACAGTTCTCCAGCCCTTCTAGAACTATTCCTTTAAGACTGTCTCCAGTCTTACCTAGGTAGCAGAAAGAGAATAATCCCCCACCTCTGAGATTTACACAAAAATTATCAGATTACAGGGTTGTAAACAACTGTTGCTTCTGGGCTCCATTAAGAGCAAGGAGATTTTTAAATTCCTGCTCTTCCTCCATAATGACTCCAGGACAGGTGCTGCAGTATGACCAGTGGTGAAGATAGACTAATCCCAACAGGAACAAGAAAGGAGCAGGGTTGGGGAGAACGTGTCTGGAATAAAAGACAGCCATCTTCCTCCCCTTCTCTTGCAGTGTATCTGTTGAGGGCTACTTAGCTTTGATCAGCTGCGCTGGTAACGGCAGCAAATTGAACTGGTATCTCAAAATGACTCAGGTGTATTATTCAAAGAGGGGTAAAATGAAAACAGTGAAGACAGACAGCAGTCATCAGTTGGGCACCATGTGATTCAGCAAAAAGGATATGCCCATTCAAAGGTTACAAATGGCCTTCCTTAAGTGACAGGAGTGGCAGTTCAATGGGACTTGTATCCCCCAGCAATGAGGACCAAACACATGCCTTCACATGTGGTGTCATCTTTAGCCTGCACTACAATTAAAAAAAAAAAAAAAAAAAAAAAAAAAAAAAAAAAAAAAAAAAAAAAAAGGCAGTCTGAAACTATTTGCAAGGCATACAGGATAGAAGAGATTTTGAGATTTTTAACATTCCTTCAGCACTCCTTAGATGAAAAGCTCTTGCTGTGTCACTAATTACCACTCAAAAACAAAGCTTACCGCTGACTCACACATAAGGTTCAGGTCTTGCTGATGTCATTCTCTGAGTGCAACATACCTCACATTCCAAGCAGTGGTGAAGTCGGGGTTCAGCAGCAGCAGGGTACACGTGATATCTATCAGCTCTAGTAAGATTGAACAAGAGACACAAATATTATTAATGATTTCCACTTAGCAGCGTTCTCTCTTCACTCGCTTACTCTGTGGCCATCCTCAAATCCTCTCCTCTGCAGGCTGCTGTACCTACAGATGCTCACCTCTGAAAATCACTGCTCTGTCTCATTCCAGAAGAAATGCTAGCTTAATTTAATAGGGAGCAAAATGAAGGACTTCCGTCTTGCTAACAACTTACAGTTAAGAAGTTTTAGCTTGAAATTTCTGCTATAATCAAACATACAGTTTGTCCTCAGTGAGGGGCAGCCATTACATAGAATCCTTGAGTATTTAGTGATTTAAATTGCAGACACACCGTATATATCATACACGGAGAATTCTTCAAAGAAAACCCAACAGTTTTAAAATAAGAAAGTACCATCAAAAATATATCATACTATTTCAGTACAAGTCTGCAGATGGCTGCCATATACTATACTGTTACAAAAAATACACATACTATAAAAAACCTGTAGCTAGGAAAATGAAACACCATAAAACTTTAAATATATTCTAAAGTGACAGCCTTGCTTCAGACTGAGGTTTTAAGAGTAAGTCACTAAAAAAAGCACACATGGAACATTTGTTTGCATCCTTGTGTTTAAGCACTGCACAGACTGTAGATTTACGTATTACACTTATTTTTAACAGTGCTGTAGAAGCAACACTGAGGTATATGGTTGCTAAGAATGGAAGGGTAATTTTGTTGTAACTAGTCTTTTCCTCTGCACTGCACCACTCGGGCAACTTGAGTCCCACCACAGTAATCGGTGGGGATCCACGAGGATAAGTTTGACATACTAAGGACTGTCACTGAGTTGGCTCCCTTAATCTCTGCTCCCAGGAGATGCAGCGTCACATCAGTTAACCTGTCCTGCAATCACAACTCTTAAATTTACAAGGTAATTTTGCAACTGAGTAAGAAGAAGAAACTTGCTTCAAAACCGATGGTGACTATCCAGCCTTTTACTGCCAAGAAAGTTTGGCTACACTCCCTCCTAATAAGCCCGCATTTAACACATTAAAACAATTGTACTTCAGGTGATTTCCAGCAAGTAAGAGGCACTTTATTACTTTTTAAGGGGAAAAAAAAAAAAAAGGAAAAGGAAAAAGAAGGTCTCTTGTGTAACTAGATCTCCGGTTAGTGTAGTTAATATGACTGCAAAATGAAATTTTAAAAAGACACTGATGAAACGCAACAATAATGGAGTATATTAACTTAAAATGCAAAGGAACATGGCTTCATGTATCTTTGAACCAGGACTCTGAAAGAAGTTAATATTTAAGTGACTCAAAAAGTGGAATTCCTTTGCATATTATTGTATGACTGCTCTTTCATTTATGTTCCAGAAAGTAACCTTGTGTTTCCCATGACGTTCCCACTTAGGAGGAAGATGTTAGGCCATCATGTAAAACGGGGAGCAGGAAAGAGGAAATTTCTTCACTGTCCTCTGTCGATCTTGCACTAAGCTTTTAGGGTGATATTTTAAAAGTAATCTCAAGGAACTATTTTAACTTTCTATTTTCATGGGGTTTAGCTGAGACCTTTTTTTCCTTTAATGAAAGATTTCCTTTTAAACCCCTCTTTGTTGGCAGGGAATGACTACTCCTCATATGCAAAAAGCTTCCTCCTAATTTGCTGCCTAAATGTACAAAGCTTTTCCTTTGACTTACCCAACGCCTGAACCAGCAAAGGGCTTCAACACCTATTTAATTTTATACAGATCAATTGCCCTGGATTGAAATATCCAGGATTAATCACATACGTAAAATTAAACACCTCCTAAGTGTTTTACTGCCTACTGTTTCAATTTTACATTCAAAAAACTTTAGTGGCAACATTTAACAACACACCAGTTATAAGGATCTACAGTTAAAATCATGAGCTGTCATGTTTCATGTAGGTTTTCCATTTTACTTTCTCACAATATTAGCAGTTGTTATATAGTTTTAAAACTCTCAATTTTACATATCATGAATATACATATTTAAATGCTCTGATTATTCCGCTATTATTACCTTGTGTCATAAACAATGCACACAAATTGCCTTTCAAAATGTAATAGGCTAAGAGCTAATAATAACTCTTCGAAGGTAACATAAATCTTTACATCAAATTCAAAATACTCACTACATGGCAACTGAGAGTTTCTTCAAGGTAAAAAAAAAATTTAAAAAGTCTGGAAGTGCCAGCGTTGTGGATAACACAAAGCAAGGCTAAATACCTTTATTCAATTAATTGCATTTCTACCCCATCCAGCTGACTTTCTCCCCAACTGGTTATTGACAAAAACTGACAAATCTGATTATTTACAAAAACAAACAAACAATAACAACACCCACCACCACCAAATGCAAAAACCCTGAATCTAAAGGCTCCAGTGCTCAAACATGGGAAGTTGTGCTATAAAGGAGATCTGTTTGCAGAACATCTACATTTGTTACAGGAGAAAAAGGTGTTTGCTATAGGAGGAAAAGGTAAATGAAACTGCAGTGCAGGATAAGAAGAAAAGTAGAGACATGGAAAAATACCGCAAAAAAAGAGCAGGATTAGAGGCAGTTCTGAATTAAGTCACCAAAAAAATCCCGAACTTTTGACAGTTGGATTTTGTGAATACAATAAGAGGTTTAGTAATTACTAGGTACTACCACTGTATATGCTACAGTTAAGCAAAAGCTTATTACAGTCTAGTTTGGTCCTTTGACTACCTTTTAGAAATGGTTTTCATAGTATACATAACCCCACTCAGAAGAATACAGTTTGTTTATCATCTTAAATTATGATTTCCAGTTAACATCTTAACAGTTAACAGTTATTCCAGTAACGTCAAAGGCCTGGAACAGCACTAAATCAAGCCAAACTTAAACAGAAGTTTTGTCTACCATTTTGTCCATTTTCCTGCTACAGAGGTATCCTAAACATTACCAAAGGAAAGAAGCAGACAAAAGGAAAATCTCAAAGCAATACTTGATTCTTTCATGTCAACGTTTTTTGATGCTTTACACAACAATAGAATAGAATAATTTCCAATTCAGATTGGAAAAGACCCTTAAGATTGTCAAGTCCAACCATAAACCTGCAATCCAGGCACAAACACTGCTCCTCAAACGATCTCAGCTCTGTGAGATCAACGTTATCCACAAACCCTGAGTCTGTGTGTGCTTCCTACATCCAGATCCACAATAACAGGTACACCAGCACTAGAGGAACACTCCACTTCAGGTCTGCAGCTGCAGTGTTAAGCACGTGCTCTGTCATTTTCTCAAAAGAGGTCTGTGATTAATAGTTATATATTGGCAAGTGATTAATATTTATATATTAACCAGTTACAAATGAAGCTTTCATGAAGTGTGGATACTGAGCCAGAGATGTCAAATGACACCATTTTAATAACCTCTGAGCCACTTTTCAATAGAAAGCTTATGGCAGATATGGCACACAATGATAGTAGTTGCCAGCTAGTTCCATCTGTATCAATAACACAAAACAGCGTCTTTTATTTACCATTCAAAAGTACTTTCTGCTAGATATATTTTAAGCAAACTACAACCTCAAGTATGCTCACAACACACATGTCCTTTTGTACATGGAAGTCTCCCCCACTGCCGAAGGACAAATATAACAAAATTTTTTTAGCTCATTTTCTTTTTAAATACAGCTGTATCCAGATTCTTATTTTCATAAGTGTATTGCACTAAGATGTTCTTTTCAGGAGAGTGTTGTAAAAGCAGTAACACGCATTTATGTAAAGTAAGGACATTCTGGGAGTATGCACAACGTTACTTTGCATAAAAAGAGAAAAGTTTGTAGCAATTTCAGAACACCATCTTGTGATAATAGAAATAATATGGATGCATAAATTAAAAAGATATTTTGGAGAAAGCATAAAAACATATTGCAAAATTAGGATTTCTAAACTGGAACAATAGCAAAAAGAGCAGCAGTCATGATTCTGGATTCCAAGACACCATCTTATTCAAGTATCTAAAAGAAAACATAACTAAATTAAACATCTGTTACAGTAAGCTGTCAATGACTGATTATAAAGCACTTCCTTCTTTCATGATCATGCCAGAAAAAATACCAAACACATCTGAAAGCAGACACTTGAATCAACACACTGTTTTTCTTCCCTGTTCTATTTAAAATGGATCACAGTAATACGACCAAGACAAAAGAGGTAACAAGAGACTACATTTGCAATCACTGTTCATTACAAGCATCAACAGAATATACAATTGAGTTTTGCAGCAGCAATAAACAAATCTATCCCTTCGCTACATTTAGAAGAAAACAACTACCTTGGTAAATTCCAGCATGCACTTTTGTCTACAACAAGGAATTTAGAGGAAAATCCTTACAGATATTTCAAGCATACAGAAAACTTAACATCTCCTCATAGAGTATACCTACTTACGCAAAATTAGAGAAATTTCCACCTTCATTTCCTCCTACCAATGCAGTTCAGAGTCTGCTAAAATTCCTACCAAATGTGAAACTTGATTATGGTAAAACATACTAAAGCTGCACCTTGTTTCACAAGCAGGTTATTAACAGTGAGGTCCTGATCAAGTTTTCCAGCAGTGACACAAAACCTCAATAGGCGTGGAAATGCTGTAGATGACCTCTTTTCGCACATTTTACACTGATTTCTATAATTGAAGAAACAAAGGAAAGTGAAGTTTTGTTTTTAAAAGAAGAAAGCCAAACAAGTCGCAACAAAGGGACAGCTTACCTAAGCTTCATAACACTCCAGTATTTACCAACACAGTTTTATGATCTGTGTGTTGAGAGGAAGGGTTCTGCAAGGCTTCATCTGGGAGGGAAGCAGAGACACTCCCCAAGGAGTCAGCACACCCTACCATCCTGGAGGGACAGACAGGTGCCACAGCGTCACCGCAACAAAGCGCCTGGACCGGTGTGAATGGACACAAATCTCAGTGGTTTGCATTTCGGCTTGACACAACTAGCTTTTGTCTGCATGTCAGTTTCCAGGGGAGGACTTCTCTCTAACACTTGAGATGGAAATAAGAAGTGTCCCTGCTGAAGATCTGCAGCATAATCAAAATACACCTCACAAACTCCTACCTCAGACCTGCAAAAACCACTGAAACAAGAACCACTGGTCTTGCTAACAAGATCAGCTCTTTAAATGCTAAAATTTGGTTTTGGCTACACATCAGAGTCAATGTTATTTATGTTCCTTATATAAAGCTCTTTTTATTGAATTGTATGATTGTCTGCATTATAAATCCAGAACTAGAAACCAGTGACTGTGATCTGATTGCAATCAGAACTGAAGGCATCACCAGGAACTTGGTGGCAGCTATCAAAACCATCCAGGGCTTACTAGGTCCAACCATAAACCACAGAGACTAAGTAAGAAATGGAAGCTACTTACGTTAGACATATACATCCCCTAGGAATAAAAGTCTTTTAAAGATGTCTGCAATGAGAAAGAATATTTAAGAAAATAAATGATGTGAAAATAAAAAATAAAGGACAATGCAAAATTTAAGAAGTGCATGAAACAATTCTCAGGTAATCACATAATGACCCTCTGTTGGGGGGTGCAGGAAACACACAAAAAATATCTCTTAGACAGAAATAAAATGCAGACAATGCAAAGGTCAGTCATACACAACAATACATGAAAAAAAGAAACCACTTCAGCTTTCTTAAGCTACTCTTTTGAATGGAAAATGAGCTCCAAGTATCAAGCCAGTGCTTTGTCACTCTAACACCACCCAAGGTACACAGCAAGCACTGGAGACTATGTTACCAGTACAAAGGGTTCCTCTCTATCATGATCTTGTTTGCAAAGAGCTAAGAAGTTCCTATGTATGAACTCTCCATATCCAGTAGAAGGCAAGCACATTTATGCTCACATTACGAACCTTCTCTGCCATTTAATGCTACTCTTTTCAAAATGCTTGCGTTCTGTATCCATGTGTTTGTAATAAGGAATTAAAAGTCTGCTTCATAACTCCAGACCCCACCCTCAGTCAAAGAAAAGTAGGCAACATTCATTGCCTTAAGAATTCTCCCTTGCCAAGATTCTTCCTCCACTGTCCCTGCATGCAAAAGAAGCTCAAATGCACATTTCTAATAGACTCATCTAACACCATCTGTCCAATCCCTTACCCTCTGCTTTAATGAGGGGAAGTGCACAGCTGGCTTCATCCACTTAAGGTGACACAGACTATAGTAATAAAATATTAAAGAGGAAAGTGAATGGCAGTTCTATCAATAAAAAAAAGATGTTACTAACTCCTTTCCTGATCTACACAGACCTACTCTCAAAACATACATGTTCAAGACAGCACAGCATGTTAGTTATATGACACCTAGATGCTAGAGTCCGCATCAGATGTCTGCCAGCATCCCACTATTTAAAGCATAATTATTTAACCCACTAGTTCATCAAGCAATCAGGGAGAATACCGTTGCAATCAACACAATCCAATAGATGGTAGCTGTTGGGTACATTCCAGGAGGGGAACATAGTCCAAGACAATAATTTTAAGGCACAATGGACATAACCATTATACATTAGGTTAGTTTCACGCAAGCAGAAAAAAATTTACAATATGATAAGGGCCTCAAACTGAATTCTGTGAGTGGTCACTGGTTCTTCAATAGAAAAGATATCCCTCCTTGTGGGACACAAAAATGTTACAAATGCCTCAGCAGATAGAAGATACAAGTAAGAAGCCTCAAAAAGATCATGAACAAACACCAGACACTGACATAAGCCTACAGTAAGAACATTTTTTTATGCTGACTGCTACTCAGATGAGAACTGAAACCATGAACAAAAAAAATAAATAGTTGCTTAAACTACATTTACCCTTCTTCATTCTTGCTCTGAACACAATAGGACACTGTCAAGTATCTCCCATGTCACACACAATTATAATTCTTAAAAAAAATATTCAAAGTAGACCACATATACGAAAGTATTTTTCATGCAAGTAAAACAAACTAAAAACCAAACCAAAACAAAAAGATAAAAAAGGAAATAAAGCTTTGCAATTACCAAGATGTATGAACTAATGATTTCTGGTACCCCTACACCTGAAAAACACTGCACTTGTTTCTTACTTTAGGTCCACACATCACCACAGTTTTCCCTCTGACTCAGGAAAGCAGGACAAAATTCCTTCTGTAAAGATTAACATCACTCCCCTAAATTACTCTAGGGAATAACTCATCTCCTTCTAACTCTTCCAGCTTGGCGTGAGACAAAGCATTCAGATTTTCAACTAAGCAAACCTACAACTCATTTAGGTTGCTACAACTCATTTAAGATGCCAAGATGCACAATCCAAAGCCTGCTCTCCCCACCAGTAACAGTCAGTTCTTTCAGAACAGGTTAAACTGGCTTTAAGAAAGGCCATGGCATCCTGGCCTGGATCAGAAACAGTGTGGCCAGCAGGACGAGGGAAATGATTGTCCCTCTGTACTTGGCAGTGATGAGGCCCCACTCATGTACTCTTCCAGTTTTGGGCTTCTCACTAGAAGGCAAACACTGAGGTCCTGGAACGTGTCCAGAGAAGAGCAACGAAACTGGTGAAGGGTCTAGAGGGTAAGTCTTATGAGGAATGGCTGAGGAACTAGGGTTGTTTAGCCTGGAGAAAAGGAGGTTGAGGGGAGACCTTGTCGCTCTCTGCAATTAACTGAGAGGAGGTTGTAGTGAGGTGGGGGGTTGGTCTCTTCAATGAGAGGAAACAACTTCAAGTTGCGCCAAGGGCGGTTTTGACTGGATATTGGGAAAAATTTCTTCACCGAAAGGGTTGTCAAGCACTGGAACATAATTCCCAGGAAGTGGTTGAGTGACCATCCCTGGAGGTGTTTAAAAGATGTGTAGACATGGCACTTAGGAACACGGTTTGGTGATGGACTTTATAGCATTTACAGTTGGACCCAATGATCTTAAGGGTCTTTGCCAACCTAAATGATTCTATGATTAATAAAAAATGTGCACTAAGAATCACATAATAGACTATCATCCAACTGGGTAACTTACCATCTTTGTTCAGCCACTGTTTTCTTTGTCTGTAGAGGAGAAGTTTATTGTGGACATATGGCAAAAGAAACTTGACACACCAGCTCTCCACACCAAGCTTGTTTTCTACCAGGACGATAGGGCTTCGGTTATACCTGGCTTCAGGGCAGGGTATTAATCCAATTTCATCTCTTAAAAAACAGAAACATACATAATTAAAATTATTTCCAGTAGATGCCAATTACTTTTCTCAATAGAGCAGAATGGCAATGCTTCCCACCCAGTCAGTCCACCATCATTTTCCCTGTTTTTACTGAAATCCGTGTTCATTACCCTCAATTCACCTTCTTGATTCTTGCTGGAGTGCAGGTATGACAAAAAGCATTTTCAGAAAGCCATCCTCTGCAAAACTCATGCAGTATATTAACTTGGCAAATAAATGATTCAAACATGTTTTAAGGCATGAATAAAAATTTAAATTGTGCAAAAAAAGTAAATGCATTTAACTCCCGTACAATTTATTCAGACACAATATAAAAGCCAGTTGTGGTTTTGAGTTATGAGTCACCATAAAAATTTTCTATTAGTTCTTCAGTGTTGTATTAGTAGAAAACCAGAAATATTTTAAGACTTGCTGAAGACTCTGGAGGTAATAGCACCATGATTAGATAAGCCAGCATGAATTCCAAATTCTTTAAATGTTCTCTAGGAAGATTCATTTTGGTGATTCTGGCTCTTCTCACTTTAAGATAATTGGAAAAGTTTTATTAGATTTTCCCAAAGATCCCAAATGAGGAAGGTCCCTGTTTTATATTTTTTGTTATCACCTAAGCAGTTTAAACCAGCTGAATTAAGGCAAGTAACCCTTGCTTTGTGAGAGATGCGACGGAGCTCTAACTGCTCCTGTAAGAGAAGACACATTAACCAGCAGAGGCACCTAACTGACCCAAAGCTTCCAGAGTGCCCTGCAGCAGCGTGACCAGGTGCTCTGAAGCCAAAGATTGCGCAGAAGTAAATCACATAGACAGCAACATGTGTATTTCCACATGTCCCATTTTACCTTCTCCTATGCAAGGCAGCCTGCTGAACAGGGGGAAGATTTCAGGCAGAGAGGCCAATCTAATTAAATGGCAACTTTGTATGGGAGGCTTTAATCAAGCCTTTAAATAAACAAAAACAGTGATGGCCACAAAAATTCCTATCAGCAGACAGAGCAGAAGAGACTCGGCTGTTTAGTTTCAAAGAGCCATAACGTATTTTCCTTTTTCCTCAGCTTTCCCTAGCATGAAGGGATGTTGGAAGAACAGCTTTAATAGCTTCTTAAAAACAAACACAGGTTGTCAAGTATTCACACTTGCTTGGACAGAAAGCAACATTATTTTATACTTTTCCATTATGCATGATTTCACCACCAACTTGTGTTCAGCGGAAAATTTTATTGCTGAAGAGGAAGGACCTCAGATCTCAGGCAGGAAAAAAAAGATCTTTTGTGATGTCAGATAGAAAGCAAATCCTCCCTCTTACATTTTCTCAATACAAAGTCTACAGACACATTCCAAGGGTCAACCCCACAGCCCCAATTCAATTATCGTAAACCAATTTTGTTACTGGACTACTTGAGTGTACCAATTTAGTTCTGTGTCCTCATTGGATTACTACCTAAAGTAATCAAAAATTACACAATGTGCTTGTTTAAGAATATACTTGCTTATTTAGAAACCTGATTTAATCTTCCATACATTGCAACATACATCAAAAACCAAAAAGAGCACAAGTAACTCAATGTAAGGCATGTGCAAATCCCTTGGCTGTCTCCAGACACACACCCGTCCCTTATCCTTCCCTGATCATCTGAGACCAGCGAGAGGAAAACCAGCATTTTCATACCCCACCAATTGCAAGCCATGGGTACCAAAGCAAGATCCTCATACCTTCTGCTCCACTCAACAAAAGTTAAACTCTTCAGGAAGCTAGTCAGAATAGACCTAAAACGACATTCCAGTCTGCTTCTTCAACACGGTACCTTAGAGCCTGAAGCTTGTACCTACTGCTGGCTCCTTTCTTTTATGAATGTTAAACCCAATCCTTGGCCAAATGTTGCCTGGCCTTGCGTATAAGGACATACAGGCCCCCATTTCCAATGAAGATGCAGTCACCCACAGTTTTGCTAATTAACTCTGTGAATTACCGCAAGAATTTACCAGCTGTTGCTTACAGTCCACCAAAAGTAAACAGCAAGGAGAGAAAGAAAAAACAAACACCTACATCCACACCTTCACTTCTTACCAAATACAAAAGGTCTGACTCGGGTGAGCTGAGTTTCACAACATGGCTTTAAACATGCCAAAATGACAGACAGGTAGGGTTTGCACAGAGATGACAAGTCAGCCTGAAACATGTCAATTCCAGAACACATTCCTCCAGCCAAAATCCGCTGAGGACTAGACCACTGCAAAATGAAATTCACCAAGACATGGTGGAAAACAAAAAATGGTTTATCTGGCAACTACACAGCTTTTGCTAAGATGCAAACCAGGGCTCATCATTTGGTAGAAAAGTTGTGTCCAACATCTTGGTATTGTTTCTGATGATCCGCGTGGTTCAGAAATCGTATGTTGCATTCAGTTCCTGAGAAGTAACAGAATCCACAATGCAAAACACCAGGAGGGCAGATTTATCTAAGGCGGGGTGCCTATTTCACAGCCAAAACAATTAATTAAAACCATCTATTTCTGCTCCTGAAGGCCCCTCCAGACTGCAGCAGGAGTAAGTATGGGGCAAGTCTGTCAGCTCAGGAGATGTTGCTTGAGAATGCCTGCATTCAACCTTGATTTATTTCCCAAGATCTCCCACTTTTCTGTTATTGTCTCTTGAATATTAGAAGGTATTTGGTGCCTTTACATTTATTTCCCTCAAAGCAAGTACCACAGCCATGTTCCAAAAACTACATGTAATATCTCTATATTTACAGGATACCACACTAGTTCACATTCCTAAAGTACCCTATGGAAGCAGCTAGAACTTCGTGGAAAATTTTAGCAGGGTTGTCATGAAGTCTGCAGCCATTACAGAGCTCCTTCAGCCTGTGCTGAGACTGTGCAAGACGAGACCAGGGAGATCATGGAGCCACACAATCCATTCCTGAATCATAGTGCAAACCTCGACCAGGGAGATCGTGGAGCCACACAATCCGTTCCTGGACCATAGTGCAAACCTCAGCCGTGGCAGAACATTATTGACAAGCTGTTACAGGGCTCAGCCATTCCATGGCCCTCCCCAAAACAAACCCTAGACAACCTAATTTAAACTTTTAAAACCATGATGATATAAAAGATTCTCTCTTTCACAAAACTGCAGTAGGGAAGAGGCATTTCTTGTGATGCTGCCGTGACAGGTCTTCAGCTTCAGTACCCCATGTGAAGGGACCTACCTTCTCCTACATTGTTCTGGAAGGTCATCTTTAAAATAAGCTAACCTCTCCCCTAGGAAGAGGATATTAAATCATGGCTGGGAGATATGAATGAGGTACAATCAGTGGATACAATGCAATGACAATTCTACTGACAATAAAGTCTGGACCCAAGTCGTTGAGTATTTCTGCAATTATAAAAAGCTTTTAATGCCAGAAGACAATCTGGAGCACGGACACTTGAAAGATATATTACATTACATTAAAATAAGTCTCATGAAAACACTACATGGCTAATGAATTTACAACACTTGAAAGGCAAAGAAGAGGGGGCCTAAATCCAAGAGTTTAAAGTTGTTTTTTCTTTTCCTTATTGTGTAGGGCATCATATACACGTGATTCTCTTTTAGAATTTAAAAAAATCCTCAGATTTGTACAGAAATGCTGGGTTACCACGTAAGAGTTCATCTTTCCAATTACACCCACCAAATTCATGTACTTTTTTGACAAGTGAGTCTATTACTCTTTGACTTCTCATGCAAAAGAACAGCAAAGTTCAAGAAGAAAGTATACATTGATCTGCTCACTGTTGGTGATCCGTTCAGTTCCAGTGGGATAGCTTGTATATACAACCTATGCTTGAAAGACTGGATAAAAATATCTTCCAGTAAATTTCATAGCCTTGCAAAATTGAAAACTAGCATGCTGACACAGTTATCAGACTGAAGAGAACAGAGCTACCAACAAGACAAGGCAAAAAGAATTTTATGTTGTATATTTAGTAAGAAGTAAGCTCAACAAGATGCACAGTCCTCCTGCAAATTTAATTTAAAGCAAAAAAAAAAAGAAACAACAATCCAATGTTCTACTTAATATAAAACTGTATTTTTACATACATTTTAATATTGACCAGAGACAACACCCCTTTTAAAACCTACAAAACTGTGAACTTGCCAGAACAAAACACCCCTTCTGACAGATGCGAAGGGCATAAGCAAACAAACAGTCAAAGACAAGGGACAACAAATGCTGGAAGAGAGATGAGTAGGGGACAAAAGTATGAGACGCAAATAGGAAAAACGTGCACATGGCAGACCCCTTATTTTCATTAGAGCCAGGGAGATGCCAGGCAAAAGAATTCACATCTGGATCTGTGACACAAACAGCCTGCTCAATTCAAGAGGGTAACATCTGTCAGGGACTACAGCTGGCTACTACTGTCTTGGCCACCATCAGGAAGACAAGATGTCTCTGAGGTACATGAAAACATCTGGCCAGCATGGCTGCAACCTGGTGCTCCAGAGGCAAACAGGCATCATAACAAAGGGCCTGCAGTTTATACTGGCCACGCACAGTTCCATTTTGAGTACAGTAGTTCAGAAATCTAGCAGATAGAATTGCCCATTTTCTTCTTCAGGGGGTAAACTAGCAGTAGCTCGTGCTTCCTCACTCGAACCATGACATGGCACGTTAGCCTTAGAGCACGTAACTCTTACAGCCTACTGCCATCTCTGAGATTGCATCTAGGAAAGAAAATGGCAACAGCAGCATACTCTTCAAAAACACAAGCTCAAAGTTTGCTACCAATAAAGAATTCTGGCAAAAGAGTAGGAACTGAGAAGCATCAGAAACATTCATTCACAAATACTGGCTGTTTACAGCACATTCTGCCTCACAACCTAAAAATGAAGCTTCATGGCAAAATGCAGTTCTTTTTTAAACAGCATCCATATGCTGTATTTTAAAACCTGGCCACCCACCCAAGTTGCTTACTACATTTATGGAAACACGAGGGTACTCATTCTAATCCTTTCCTTTAAGCAAAGGCATAAATTAAGGGCCCGTAAAATTTTCCTACGTAGTTGCTCAGCATACCATTTTCTGGAGCAGATTAATAGGCCACCACCTCAGAGACTGCAGCATTTCCAACTGACACAAGTACACTGTACTTACATTATTAAGTTGTTATCCATCATGCGCTACCTCATTTGCCAAAACCAATACGGGCTTTACATAAATAAGATAGAAAACTGCTTCCCTAAACAGTTTGTGACTTAAACCAACAAAAGACGGGGAAGGACAGAGAAATACGGGCGGTACCTAAATGTGGGTGTCCGGGCTGGCCAGCAGTGGAAAGGAAAATAAAAACACTGACCATCTGACCCCCAGACTGCTAGATAAACCCGACTCTCACAAGAAAGCAGTAACTGTAGTTTGTATTCACGCCGTCATTCTGTTTGTCTTCCTTGAAACGGCACCCATGGACAAGGGCTGGCACCTCTGCCAGTGCCAGGTTCCGAGGTGGCACTCATCGAGCTGCACAAGGCTTCGGCCCCCAAGGTCTGCTGTGACCCTGCTACGGCTCTGCCTCTGCCACCGGCAGCCCCCCGGCCCGGCCCGGCTGGGCTACACCACCGGCCAAACGCCGCCAAACCCCAGATTCCAGCAGGGTTCACTTAAGGACTCCTCTTTATTATTAAAAAAAAAAAAAAAAAGATACTCATGGCTTCCAGATTCTAAGAGTCCATGCCGGTTTCCGCAACGAAGTTATTTTTTTACCGAGGAGGCTGTTTTTGCCGGCAGGCTGAGGGAGCCGGCTACCAGCCGGGCCTCCGGCAGCGACTCCGGCCGCCGGGGCCGGTTCGAAGCGTGAGGCGGGAGGGCACGGGAGACGTGCGGCACCACCGACCCGCCCCCACCGAGCCCAGGCACGCCGCCGGCCCTCCGGCCCACCCCAAGCCCCGGCTGGGGAAAGCCAGCCCGGCCCCCGCCGCCCCTCACGGCGTGACCTTGGGGCCGGCACCCGGCCCTAACGGGGCACCGCAGGCGGCGCGGCCCGCCCCCGCCGGGGACCCCCACAGCCCGAAGGCGAGGGAGCGGGGCCGCCGCCGGCCGAGGAGCGGCGCAGGGGGGACTGCCCGCCCGCAGCCCCCCCGGTCCCGGCCCCACTCACATGTGCGGGTTGCGCTGGAAGGCGTTGCGGATGTCCTTCACCACCCTCTGCACCAGCACCGCCACCTCCTCCGGCGACTCGGCCATCTTCCGCCTACCGCCAGCCGGCCCCCGCCGCGCCGCGCCGCGCCGGGCGGGCTGAGCGCTTCCGGGTCAGCGGCCCCCGCGGGGAGCCGCGGGTAAGGAAGGCGGCGGGGCGGAGCGGGAGCGGGAGCGGCCCGGCCTCCCGCCGCCTCAGCCCCGCTCGGTCCCTCGGGAAGGGGCCCCGGGGCTGGGGTCTGCCCGCGGCACCCGCGTTTGCCCTTGTCGGGGCGGGACTCTTTCTATCAGCGTAGCGGTGGGACGAGGGGTAACGGGTTTGAACTGAAAGAGTGGAGATTTAGGTTAGATGTCAGGACGGAATTCTTTGCTGTGAGGGTGGTGAGGCACTGGAACAGGTTGCCCAGAGAAGCTGTGGAGGCCCCATCCCTGGAAGTGTTCAAGGCCAGGCTGGATGGGGCTTTGAGCAACCTGCTCTAGTGGGAGGTGTCACTGCCCATGGCAGGGGGGTTGGAACTGGATCACCTTTAAGGTCCTTTCCAACCCAAACCTTGAGCATTTGCCTTGCCAACTTTATCTATCACGTCCTGGGCTGCATCAAAAGATGTGTTGCCAGCAGGTCCAGAGAGGTGATTCTGCTTTGCTCTGCTCTGGTGAGACCTCACCTGGAGTACTGTGTGCAGGTCTGGAGCCCTCAATGTAGGAAAGACATGGACCTGGTGGAGCGGGTCCAGAGGTGGGCCACTAAAATGATCAGGGGGTTGGAGCACCTCTGCTGCGAGGACAGACTGAGGGAGCTGGGGTTGTTCAGCCTGGAGAAGAGGAGGCTCTGGGGAGACCTAATATTGGCCTTCCAGTCCCTGAAGGGAGCCTACAGGAAGGCTGGGGAGAACCTGTTTACAAAGGCCTGCAGTGACAGGATGAGGGGAAATGGCTTTAAGCTGGAGGGGAGCAGATTTAGGTTGGAGATTAGGAGAAAGTTCTTTACTGTGAGGGTGGTGGAGCACTGGAACAGGTTGCCCAGGGAGGTGGTTGAGGCCCCATCCCTGGAGATATTCAAGGAGAGGCTCGACGAGGCCCTGGGCAACCTGGTCTAGTTGGGGGTGTCCCTGCTGACTGCGGGGGGGGTCAGACTAGATGACCTTTGGAGGTCCCTTCCGGCCTGGACCATTCTATGTTTCTATGATTCTATGATCTAATTGATGGCACACCTTTTCAGGCTCTCGCTTTGTTCTGTGCAATTTGTGCAGTGTACAGGTTTTATTTCAAATTTGTTAAAAGCAGCAAATTCACCTTCAGTTAGGTAACACAGCAAATGAAGTATTTCCAGCTATATAAGCAGTTTGAATTTCGTAAAGAGGTTTTGGTGAATTAGACCTCAAAGCAACACCTTTAAAATGTCACTAATCATGCCAAAATTACTCAGTGGATTAACAGTCTTAATTTTTCATTTGGTTTTGCTCATTTATTTTTTTCAGTTTAGTGTTAGTATTGGGTACATGTGAAAAGCAGTCAACAGCAATGTTGTTTCTGTTCTGTTTCTGTTCTGAAAGTACTGAGCATTGCAGCAAAACTACTAATGTGCTTACAAGTTGCAAAGGTAGTTAGTGCAATTAACTGACAGTATCCTGTGTATGACTTCACGCATGCCTTTTGAAGAGGACAGAATATTATTTTTATTTAAATGGCATAATAAGATGTATTTAAATTGTGTACACACATTTTCAAAGCTTATAAAGCAGGCATTGGTACTAATGCACATGATGGTGCACGGAAGCTTTTGGGAGTGATTATTGATTTGTCAGCCAAGCATACTTACTTGCTGTAATTTTGGGGTAATTATAATTAATTATTTCAGAAAATATACCTTTGTTAAATTTCACATAGCACATAAGAGTTAACTGTAGAAAATGCAACATCACTAAATAATCTAAGAATTATATGTATGTTATTCACAGAAAAGAAATTTTCCTGGGAAATCCATTCTTAGGACATCTGGGGAGATGTCAAAAATCTTGGAAACAATTTGTCTGAGGTAGGTCCTCTCTCTGATTAAGGATACAAGGAATCCTGCAATTGAGTGTACAGAGACTCCATGACTGCATCTTTTTTGCTGTATTGAGAACAGTGGAAGTTAGCATCATCACTGCATAAGACTGCGGATTCTTCAGTTATGTTCAGTTTACATTTCATTTTAATAGAAGAAAAAATAAACAATTTTGGGGAAAAGGAAGTTAACAAGTTTGAAATTATATCGGTATGTAATCCATTATTTTCTCTGTAAATGTTATCTGATTTTTTACTAAAAGCTCAAAAGTTAAAGAATATCCGCATCCATTTGGGACTTGACTGTAATTGCAAAGCAGCATAATTGAGAGGTTGAATTCAGCCATCCATAAGAGCTAATGGATGTGCTGAAACCACACGACAGCTTAAAACTGTCCTCTTGGCAGTTGTAAGTGGGGCAAACTGTATATTAACATAGTTGAAACACAATCCTGTGTTTTTAAAGCAGCATTGAATTCTGAAAAGTGAGCATTCAATATAAATGGTAGCATTCTGCTCTGGAGATCTTACAATGGAGCGTGTTGATAGCTTTAGCCCAGCAGTTTTAGGGGGAAGGTAAGTTTTTGCTACTTCCAATGCCAGTTACCACTGCAGTGGGTGGCATGTGGTGTGGTGAGAAGCATGGAAGGAGGCAGGAGCCTCCTTTGGTCCTGCAGGGCGAGTCCCTCACTGTGCTTTGCAACGGGGACTTGGTGGAGCCCTGAGTCCTGTTAGCTGAGTGTTGCCGGTCTTGCACAAGAACTTGCTCTCTATATAGGATAAGGTGAAGTCCAGGTGTTTACAGCTTTCGACCAGTGATTTTTCATTGTTGTTTGGGTTTGTTTTTTTGCCAATGTCTGTGCTAGTCTCCCTGTTGCTCTTCCAGTTTTCCTTTAAGTTCACCTCTTTTTCTTTAGCTTTTTGCTTTGAACTGACACCAAGACCTAAACCTATATACAGGCCTTCTCCTTTGCTCTAATTTTGCAACAACCTGCCACACCGCATTTAAGTTAAGCTTCATGCATGGTGCTTACAGGGGTACCCACTACCTGACAAGGCTTTCTGGATTCCTTTGCTGTTATCCCTCTCTTATGTTACAGCTGGAACTGAAAAAAAAAGCTAGTTCACAGGCTTGTTTTAGCACAGCGCGTAATTCAGATTAGAACTGACTTTTCTCTAGACCAATGTGACTACCCCCTATCATATAAACCCAAAGAGTAGTTACAGTCTTAACCTTTAATTGCCACCACTGATCTCAAGATGTGAGGCAAACCAACAGCAGTGTTTGTAATATCCCAGTGACTCATGGTGGTTGCAACTGTCAGTTTATCCAGTTTTATACCGTTCCTATCAGTTTATCAGTTTTTTACCATTCATTGACTTCTTGTGATGATGGCATCTTGCATCTCTTAGTTCAACCATAAATTGTCATAGTCCAGAGGACGGTGGTAACAGCAACAATTAGTTTAACTGGTCTTCTCCTGAATTTGTGTGTTAACTGTTTTCAGTCTGAATCCTTGCCTTACCCACAAGGCCTAATGCTGGCCTATTCCAGTGCTACTAAATGTGTTTTCAAAGCCTGGACTGGTGCTGGCAGTCCGCCTACCTACTTTCTCAATTTCTTCGTCCCCCTAAGATGTTTTTCCAGTCTCAATCCAGCATTATGGTAGACAGATGGGAGAAAGAAAGCATTCAGAGAACTATAGGTAAGGAGCACGAGCCTTCGATTTCAAAGGAAACAACCTTTTCTTCCCTCTCCCGAATTCAGTTATTTTCCTGTCCTTAATCTAACCCTTAAATCAAATCTCTTAAATCTTTTCTTGGCTCATACTAGTACTTGTGCTTTCTTATAGTTTTTATGTTGATAGAATTCTGTAGGCAAAACTTTCTAGATAATAGGAGTCATATTTAGCATCCACTGCAATTACATGTCCATGGAGGTAAACAATGCTTCTTGGTTAGAGTATAAGCAATCTTATCTCAAGTATTCATTTGAAACACAGTTCAAAGTGCAAATCCAACATTGTGTTCTTACATTAATGTAAGGTGTCATTCTCTCTTCACTAAGAGACTAGCAGTGCTTGTAATGATAGGCTCCAATAAAATGAAAAGGTCTGAAATTTGCTGGCAGAGCTTCTGTAAATGTATTCAAAAATGAACTGACACTTCCAATATAAATCTTGTGTTTTGTTTTGCATGAATATAAAATAACTGAGAAGAACTATGTATGTAAAATGTACATTTTTTTATCTGCTGTTATTAGGAGAGTTGACACAAGACTTCTTCTTCTGGCACTTTTTGAACACTTTGTACTCAGAGTTGTATACTTGAAGACTTTTGGGACTTAGCCCTTGGCTTTTTGCATTCTATTTTTAGGTTTGGGCATAAATTCAGATGGCAGTGATACACACAGCCTTTGCTCACACGTCATGTGTACCAGGACGTGGCCACCTTAGTGACCCCCCCTGGACTCTGCATTATGTCAGTATCTTTCTTGCTCCAGGGAGCGCAAAACTGGACACAGTACTCCAAATGTGGTCTTTTAAGTGGAGAATATTTCATTTGATTTGGCTTCTTGAACTGTTTTAATAAAATGTCTTAAATAATTACAATTTTTAAATGGAATTTGACCTCCAGTGCAGTTACCAAACAGATTGAGAGGTACGTGTGAGGTACCAGTGCACCATCTATCCTGTTTTGAGTAGAAGATTAATTTTTTATAGTATCGAGGCTTCAGCTTGTGAATCCATAGCTCTCAGAAGTCAGGCAATGCTGTTCAGATTAAATTCTCAAGAGTGGATGGAAACTCTGTATAAAATAATTACTTGTGGTTCAGGAACTTGCTTTTCAGTGACTACAAATAAAGATTATTCCAGCATTTATTTAGGTCTTCCTTTACGCCCCCCCTCTAAACTTTTCAAAATGTATTGATTTGATAGAAGTGAACAATTTTGTTTAAGCCTCAATGAGTTCAATCAAGCTAGATAATGTAAAACCACCAATAAGCAGAGGACTA